CACACACACACACACACACACACACACACACACACACACACACACACACACACACACACACACACACACACACACACACACACACACACACACACACATTTTTCTTTCTTGGTTTTTCTCTTGGCTTGCAGAATTTGATTAGAAAGCGCCTGATGGTGGACGTTGATACAAGCAGCTATCTGCTGTTTGTTTCCCGGTTGTCGGCCTAAGTAATGTGCAGATACCCGAAAAGAAGGAGGAGAAGGAGGAGGAGGAGGATAAGGGTGGGAAGTGATGAGGTGCCGGTGGTGTTAACCCGACTCAGCAACTGGGGTTCCGATTAGGCTGCTGTCGATACGCTGGATGCCGCCCTTCAGCTCCGGGATGCTTTATGCGCTGCGGCGGCGGCTCTGCTCGAGTCTGCTGAGGCCTTTATCGGATATCGATATTCGTCCTGTCCGCTTGGAGTAAACACAGATTATCTGAGAGGAGACACAGCGCAACGCTCCGGATTTTAAAATCATATCCATCCAGTTTTTGTTTTAATTACGCCTTACGCATCTGCTTTTGGGGATCTCCAAAAATGCTCCAGATCGCACAATTTGTTTTTTTCTCAGATTCTGCATCTCCCGTCCAACGCTCTCAAACTGCATTAAACAGGCAACTCTACACTTCTTCATTTGACTGGCTAATTACTTTAGGTTACAAGCTATTTGCAGGGATAATGTTATACATGTTTGTTTCAGATTCCAGTTGGCGCGAAGTTAAAATGTACTTTACTTTAATTCTCTGTCCATATTTTACAGTCTTTATTCAGCGTAGGTCTTGGAATGCATTTTGAGAAATAATCTGCTCTATTTTTGTACAGACAGTATATTGTGTATTATCTGCTATGCAAGGCGGGTCTCTCATTACAGGAAATGTACGCTGCGCTTCAGCTGAAGAACGAAAAATAAAAATCCCGATGCGCTCACGTTTACTGACAATTTCTAAATAATCTTTCGGTTTGTTTTAGCCTAGAAAAATATCATTCCTTGAATTTCTATAACGCTTTATATAAAAGGACATAACGTAAAATATGTATTCCCACGTGAAATGTTCCAGCAAAAGGGTCCGGATTTAATAACTCGGGGTATTATCTGGTTACATTTCATTTCATGCAGAATTGTATTGATCTGAAAGTAAAAAATATGAAGAGGCCGTGTCGGAAGGTCGGCGTTATTTGAAGTGTCGGTGTAGTTAATGGCGTCCGATGGCAGTTTTATTGACGGATCATAAACAACGCATTGGCTTTACAATACCGCGGGTTTGTGTGTGTGTGTGTGTGTGTGTGTGTGTGTGTGTGTGTGTGTGTGTGTGTGTGTGTGTGTGTGTGTGTGTGTGTGTGTGTGTGTGTGTGTGTGTGTGTGTGTGTGTGGCTTGAAAACCACAAAGGATGCACCGCCATTGTAACAATTAGAAGCATACATGTCGTTTACGCACAGCTGCGTGGATTCTGCCTCCAGTTTAATTCAGGCTAAATTCATTTAGTCGTTTTTGTGCAGAAACGAACGGGTCTACATGGAGCCTTTTTTGTCTTAGACTTTATTGATAAGCATCAAATCCTCTAATTACGAGAACATGTTTACACGGTTTGCGCATGTCTCACATTCCTCGTCATTTCGTCGTCTTGCTCTTTGTGTGTTAAATCTGTCGGAAGGGAATGCTTACTGAACATTTAAACAGACTAGAAGTTTCTTGATAGGAAATATTTCTAATTTATTGTATATAAACTGAGTAACATCGTCTCTCTTGTTGGATGATTTTAAAATGGTTGATTATTGTTTTGTCTTTTTTGGGATAGCCTATGGCATTTCATTGTAATATAGATGATTCTCTTTTATTGTGTCTGTCATTTTCTTTAGATTCTGTTTTCCATGTTGTTGTGCCGACTGTCTGTTCTGAAGTCAGTCTGATTTGTTGTAGCCTAAAAGTATTGGGACAAAGAAGACAAAATGATTTGATAAAAATTAAGATATGTATATAAATTATACTTTTTATTTGAATAACTCTGTTACTTTCTGCTCTCCGCCTCCTGTCCCAGTACTTCCTCTCCTCACTTTTGGAACACAGTTCCTGGAGTATGTTCAGCTGATAATACAGAAAAACCTCAAGGAGTCATTTTATTTTTCCTAAATTGTTTTATCAAGGCGCATTTAAGCCATATGGCCGCAGTATTCCACCAGCAGGCAAACTCCAGAGACTCTGATCCTCCCTCTTTGTGAAATGTTCTTCTCTTCTGTCTGTCTTTGTGTTGTTGTATTTTTTGTGCGATGGCACTGCTGATGCTGGATTAAAGAAGAGACTTTACAGTACCATCATGCTTCATGTCGTTGAATTTCTACTTATTGAAATGAAAAGTAATGCAATATTCTCCTTTTTCCGGGAGTGGGAAAGTTTCTCCTTTCCCTTCTCCTCCAATCTGTTCTCTGTCTGAAGAGAGGAATGGATGGGGCAGCATGTGTTTAAAATATGTGTCTCTTCAGTTCAACCCTGAGTCTTTAAGGACAGGGGCGTCTGTTTGGCTGCAACACCAAAAGACTGTCATAGAGCCATAAACACCCCCACCCCCACCCACACAGATGATGAGTGCATTCATTAGAGGCGTCATCATCCACCCATTAGGAGCTCGTGAAGCCGCTGCGGTTCCTGTGTTTGTCTCTAGACACACAGTCTGAGGAGAGCTGCAGGAGATCTGCTTCCTCCCCGACTTCTGACATCAAGAAGACAGAGTTAGAATGAGACTGAGGAACTGTGACTGGTAAAAGTTGCCATGTGTAGATGTTTATGCAAAAGTAGCAGAAGATATGACACTAAGTTACAACAGAAGAGCAATAGAAGCAGAGTAGCAATTTCAACTGTATCCTTGCTAGCACTACAGGTACAAGTGGCGTAACTATCGACGGTGCAGCCGGTGCAACGCACAAAAAATATAAAAAAAGTAAATCTGT